TCAGTGATCTTATTTCTGACTGCTGGTTTTGAGTACTTTGAAGGCCCTAGACTTGCAATTCAATCTTCCAACTCTGCCATCTCCCACTTATAAAAAACCCACAAAGCAGCATAAAATGGATCTTTAAGTTTATATACAGTTTCCTTTAAAGGATCTGAAAATTTTAAGACCTTCAAAAGGCCAAATTATAGCAAACACTCAGTTGTCTGGGGTGTAAAGTTCCTCTCCCTGGTTCCTAAGATGAATTCAAAAGGTGTTGGGACTTGACTTAGTGTGGCTACAGCATGATTGGGTGTAAAGTATTTTTAAGTTATCTTTTGGTATTTTTCTGTTCTATTTCTTAATTTCTGAATGTGGATAATTCTGATGTGTTGTTCTGCAATAACTACTTTTCCTTTCATATTAAGGAGCACATTTTCTCACTTTTTGCATCATAACTCACCACTACCAACCCCCAAATGTATTTGCCCTAAGGAAAAAGGTAAATGGGAAATTGGGGGAGAAACACTACAGCAAATTGGTCTCCTTCTTTATGATAATCCTAAGTAGAAGCTAGAAACTGAATCAAATTGGTTGCAAAAGGAATACTAATTTGACCACAAATGACAAACATCTTCTCTCAGATTCCAGAATCCCAAAAATAATCATTAGAAGTCCCTATGAAGGTAATATAAATTTCAAGAAGAGCTATACTAAATGAAAAATGAAAATTAGTAGATTTGAGATGACATTTCTTTTTTTTTAAATGTCTATCTTTTAAAAGAAAAAAAAATAAAATAAAATTTAAAAATGTCTCTCTTTATAATATGCCTCTGGAGAGTAGAACTGTATGGAACGGAGCTTTTTACTGTACCCCCTTATGCATCTCTAACATATTATAGCATACACATATTATCACTTCAAAAGTTATTTTTTTAAATTCTAAATTCTTTAAATAAAATATAGAGTATTTTTTGATCAATCTAAAAATGCACAAATTTTCCAAGTTAGGTTCAAATAATTATTTAAGCCTCTACTGACCTCTGTAGGCAAAAGTGTGTTACTGGAGCCCCAACCAACTGGATAAAATTGTGGATCATTATTGAGTTAACAAACTGTAGTAAATCTATACTAGTAAGCAATGATGTGTAACACTTCCCCTTAATCGAGAGTGGGTTTGTGATGAAGAACGTTACCTTTAAAGAAAATCTCTAACCTGATCAATAGAGAAAGGAAAGCCAGGAAGTCACTGACAACTCAAGTCTCTGCTCCTCTGCTCCAGACTAATTATTTTCTCCTACAATAACAAATACTGAAATCTAGTTCAGAGAGAGAAATACTTCTAAATAGTTAATAAATATACAAAATACCACCAACTTTCATCTGACCAGCTAATAAATGACTTTCACTTAAACACTGAAAATCATCACATTGGTTTTAAGAAAAAAATCACCTTGCTCAGCAGTTCTCAAAGTGTGATCCAAAGACTCCTGGGGGTCCTCTCCCTTTTCCAACTACTTATCTGTGTTAGGCTGGATTTTCTCATATACTTCAACCAAAACAAGATACAAGCATACCTTGGATATATTGCAGATTTGGTGCCAAACCACAATAAAGTGAGTATCACAATAAAGCAAGCTGTAATCTTTTGGCTAATGGAGGGTCTTGCCTTTAATTTGTAAAAAACAAACAAAACAAAAAAACATGCAACACCTGTGAAGCACAATAAAGGGACGTGCAATAAAACAAGGTATGCCTGTATCATAACAGATTGAATTCAGAAACAGATGAAAACCCAGCTGTCTTCTATTAAGCCAAACATGAAAGATATTGCAAAAATGTAAAACAACAACATGTTCACACTAACTTTCTTTTTGTTTGGGAAAATATATTTTTCATAAAAATGTGAACATGTAATGAGTTTATTGTTATTTTAACATTAATAAATGTTTAAATTTTTCTGTTTAATTTCTGCCATGGATATAAACCAATCTTTGAAGTCCTTCAGAATTTTCAAGAGTACAAAAGAGTATAACATGTTTGAGAACTGGTGTAGCTAAATAACTTAATTCAGTCCTGTAAATACTTTTCAAACAGCATTCATTCTCTTCCCTCCTCCCCCCATTTAAAATGTGTTCACAAATTTCTCCCTCCTCACTATCCAATTATTCCCTCTATATTGTTTCTGGAATCCTTGGTCTTAAGAAAATAAAAGTTAACCTTTTAGAATTATACTCTAACCTAAACTCTGCAAGCTTCAAAAACCTGTATTTAAAGACTCTATTTAAAATCTCCTTTAAGCTGGAGTTGGATTCCCTTTTGGCTTTAATGTCTAATCTGCTTATTTTCATGCCTCAATCAGTAACATCTGCTTTCTTTTCTTTTCTCCTCAGAGAGGATGGTTCACATTTAACAAGACAGAAGGGAAAAGAAGATCCCAGCTCCCCTGCTGCCTACACTTGACTACCTGACAAGACATTCCTGTCGTCACTACCACAGTTCACCTAAAGCTCCTACAGAATCTTGTAAATGGCGAACTACAGCTTCTCGGTTCAGAGAGCGCACGGCGGCCCTCGCTGCCGACCGCCACCTGCCTGTTCTGTGTTTTCGCTTAGAGTAGCAACGTCGCCATCAACTTCCAGGTCGCCGCACCATTTTTCCTCTCAGGCTGCCTAGGTCCGGAACAGTAAAAGGCCTTAATCCCACCCTTAACATTTGAGGGAAGAACTTTCTGGTGATCCCCATTTTTCCTCGCTCTTCCTTCACCAAGCCTCTCTTAAAGTCGGAGGTATCACAGTCAAAAGTCCTTGACGCCCCTCAAAGAGGAAAACGGCGTCTTTCTAGAAAGATTCTCTTCCCCCATCGAGAACCCCATCATGAGAGAATTCCCCCTCCGCTGCCCCTCCCGCGGAGACACCAGAATCCTCATTCTCGCTCGGACCGACATTGCCCGCCGCTAAGAAAGAATGGGGTTACTTTTGTTTGTCGGCTGGGGGTGAGTTTGCGGTTAGAGGTTCTAAGGAGCAGGGGTAAGAGTTGTCACCCTGACGAGAAAACTCAGACGGAAGATCCCAGGATTAGCTGCGCCTAACACCTTCATCTGCAACCAGATTAGAGATAGCTACCTTCTGGAGCGAGGAACAGAGAGAACTACTGCAACAATTCTGCAAGCCCCTCCAACCTCGACCCACTTTTCCCGCCACCAAGAAAAGGCACGAGGCCACGCGTAAGCTCCACAGTTCCCTCCAGCGGCAAACTCTCAGCGCTGAGGCGCATGCGCAGCCAGAAGATGCGTTTGCGCTTGCGCAGCTGAATGTCGCCATCTTTCACGCTAACGCCCTGTAAAACTACAAATCCCATAATCCTAGATGGCCTCACTTTTTCCTTTAGGCGTCCACAGCAGTGCCTGATCGTTAATGAACCACATCTTTCTTTTACTAATTTTTCTCTGCCCCAAGCTGTCTTTTCCTCTTCGTTCCCTGATTCCTATTACTCCTTTTAGTCTCCTTCGCACCCGTATTTTAATATTTTGTTTGAGACTCTCCTCCCCATTCTCGACTCTCCCACCCTCTGGGGTGCAACAGGGCCCGCACCCCAGCACTGTTGGGAGAACGGGCCGCCTTGCACCCAGTAGAATGGGCGTCGAATAGCTTCCTCCTCATTGGCCGAGGCGGGGCAACCAAGCCTAAACCTCTTCCCCACCCACACTCGTTTATCTATCTATAAGGCGGCGAGAAGCCGCACCGTGCGCTCAGGAAGGCCTGCGTGCGAGCTGGTGGTAGTGGTGAATGTATTGCTATTGGTGGCTGTGGTGGGCATAGGGTCGCAGTCCTCGGGCTAGGGGATCGAGCGCGCAGGAGTCCGGTGGGGTACGGGGGCGTTGGTATCGGGGCTTTGGGAGACGGAGGGAAGGGCGTGGTGTCCTCAGGTGATCGCGATTAGGGGAAGGCTGAGGAGCGAGAGGACTACTCGGCCATTTCGTTGGAAGAGGAAGTTGGACATCAGCTGTTTTAGTGATTTTTTTCAGTTCAGCAGTGAATATTTTCCAGGGGGGTGAGTTAAAATGACTTATCGTATTTTATTGAGAACAGCTCGTAGGAAGACGGTCAGTACACTCGCTCCTTCCTCTACTTCCCACCCTCGTTCCCCCCAGCCCTTCTAAGTAGGTGGGCAAACGGAGACCAGTCATGAATAATTCATGAGGGCCTACCCGTTCCTTAGCCACGCCCCTCCCAATCGTGCTAACGCACGTTACGTGTACCAAACCTGGGGAAGCGACGTAACAGTCCCCGCCCCTAGGACGGAGGGCGGGGCACCACCCTCAGCACGTGCTGCATCAACCCGCGCAAGCCCAAAAGGATGTGCGCAGGCGCTCCCCGCTAGGGGGAGGAAGGAGGCGGGGTAGGGAGCTTGTTGGGTTTAGAGCCGGGCGGAGACCGCTGAGACTCATTCCTCAGGAACAAGGGTCGGGTGTCAAGGAGACCTTTTCACACCAGCTCCCCGTCCCCGCCTACGGTGGGTGGGTTCGCGCGGCAGAGACAAAGGATATCAGTAGGGACGAACATAGCTGCGAAGGGAAGTAGGGTGTCAGTTTGGGGTGGTGGGCTTTTGGGGGGGATTACAGGGAGCTATATTTAAACTCCCTGAGCCGTTAAGTTGGTTCGTACTCGGATGCGCGCGCGACCAGGGTGGCGGCGGAGTGCGCATGCGTGATTCTGGGGCGAGAGGAACGCGCTTCGGCTGTGCGCGCTCGCGGCAAAGCGGTAGTGGTGGAGGAGAAGGGTCGGCGCACGCGCGGTTGGTTCCTGGAGTTCGGGTCTCGCGGGCATCTTGTTTTGGTCTCGTAGGCGAGGGGGCCGCGCTTCGGGGGAGGCGCTAGGGCGCGAGACTAGGCGAGAGGAGCTGCGCGCGCACCCAGGGAAGGGGGGAAGGGAGCGGGTGTAGGAAGGGGGGGGGTTAAGCCCCCAGGTCCACCCTCTTAGCCCTCGACTGGGACGGAATAAGGGGAGGAAATGATAGAGATGGCGGCGGAGAAGGAGCCGTTTCT